TGTGGAGGGTCTCCGGGTATCTGGAGGCCAGCGTTGGGCGGTTGCACAATCTAAGGAGTGGACACTTGTGCCGGTTGTTGAGATACTTCCTGCTGAGCAGCCTCCCAATGCGCGCCATAAGGACGACTTCCTCGAGTATGCCTCATGATGACGAGGTCAGCAACATCGTATTGAGTCCCATTGGTGACAATGCAACATGTTGCGCTGATGCTAAACCCGTCCACATGCCTGCGGAGCCCACAAAATTTTGCATCCCTTGCAGTAAACGTGCCTTCTAGGTTGTAAATCTACTCTCAACCCCATATCCGTGTATAGGGACAGGTGCGAACCATGTAGGTATGATGCCGAAAGTCGAAAAATAGGCCGGGTGCAGAGGCGGTGCCCATCTGCTCCATTGAATAGTCAAATTTTGCTCCGGGTGGATTGGTTGTCATAATTGGTGGCAAAAAACACTTGTGGGGCTGCTGGATTGATCCGGGTAGTGACGTCGTCGAGGCGAACAATGAATTTTATTACTGCTGAACGGGCTGCTCCCTGCCCCCTGGACCAAGAACATCGAAGAAGTATTTCGTCAACTGTAGTGTTTGATCATGAAAAACGGATTGTATTTCCGTTCGAATATAATCCCTAAGATTTGGCATCGAGACGAGTTGATATGCTCGCTGGCCTTCGTCAAAGCAGAGGCCCTCATGTGTAACGCGTGTTGTTTCTTTAGACTCTTGGCTATTATTGAAACTCATTGAATTGCTCAACGTACGACTTCGTAAATTCATGAACGAAAAGGAACGTGATGTGTCCCACTAGGCATGTCAAACTGCTGTTGTTCGAAATATTTTTCGATGGCTTCTAGGAACGAACCAACCAAAATTCGGTAAATTTCTAGTCTCCTTAAATAAATGATTCCAAAATCGTGTTAGGAAGATTGATAAACGTGACAAAGAAAAAGGAAAACAAACACACAATAAAAAGCAAAAAAGTAAAGCAATAAAAAGGCAAGAAAATAAAGAAAGATAAATGCAAAAATAAAATAAAATTGTTTAAAATTGTAGTAATCCCTACCCCTTCATTTGAAGAACACGCGATGTATATATATACTAGTGCTCGTATGTACACACTACGCTGCGCAGTTATTTGTTATCTGATATTACTCTGTTGTATAAGTTGATTAGCCTGTGCATATTTTTTGTTTTTAATTTCTTAGAAGAGAAAATATAATATAACTATATGTTAGGGAGAAAAAGAGAAAGAAAATGAAAATATTGGCAGACTTAGTCTTATGAAAGAGAAAAATAATGAGAAAAAAAACGAAAAAAGTAATTTTAATATATTTTAGGAGGAAAAAAAAAGTATATATTGACAGAATTATTTTTACAAGAGAATAAGAGAAAAGATAATATAAATAAATTTTATGGATAAAAAGAGAAAGAAAAGGAAATGTTCGACGGAATTAGTTTTATGACAGAGGCAGAGAATGAGACAACGAGAGAAAATAATATAAATATATTTTAGAGGGAAAAAGAAAAAAAAGTGTTAAGACCGAATTAGTCTTATAATAGAGGAAGAGAATGAGAAAAAAAAGAAAGAAAAGACATATAAATATTTTAGGGAGAAAATAAAAAAAAATGTTGACCGAATTACTCTTATTAGGGAAAGAATTAGGGATTAGAAAATGGAGAAAAGAAAAAAAAAATGTGACGGACCGAATTGGTCGGATGAAAGGAGGAGAGAAATAAAATAAATTATATAAATATTTTTTATAACTGTGCAACGAATCAATTTTAAATATTTTTTAAATATTTATGTATATTATACTTTTTTATTTTATTTAAATTCTGTATTATTAAAAATATAATTCACTACAAAATAATGCATATATTGATATATTTTATATTTTAACTTGAATTTTAAAAATTTTATTATATGAATATGAATATATAAATTTAAATAATATAAATATAGTATTTTGAAGCAAAAAGAAAATCGCTGACCGAATTGATCGGATGGAAGAAGAAAAAAAAGAAAGATAATGAATTATATAAATATATATTTTTTATAAGTGCGCAACCAATCAATTTTAAGAAAATCTATTTTTCTTTTTCTTTTAGTTTATTTTCTCTGTATTATTAAAAAATTATTTTTTTCAAAAAATTATAGAGGAGAGAAAGAAAGAGAATGAATTATATAATATATTTTATGGAGAAAATAAAAATAAAAAAAAAAAAAGTTGACCAAATTAGTCTTGTAGGAGAGAGAATGAGAGAAGAGAGAAAATAGAAAAAAAAAAGTGGCAGATCGAATTGGTCGGATGGAAGGATGAGACAAAGAAAGAAAATGAATTATATAAATATATTTTAAGGAGTCAACAATGGGAGAAGTCGGTTGGCCTCACATGGAAAGGATCAAAGGCCGTTAAGTGGGAAGTCGGTTGGCCTCAAGATATGTCTACCATATTCCTCTCCAGCGGGACGTTGGTTGGCCTCAGGAGAGTCGGCCGCTGGTTGGCCAGTTTTGGAAGGGCCAGCCACTTGGGGACCCAAATACGGAAGCCCAACCGCCGGAGGATTTGTGACCGGAAGGTCGGTTGGTGGTTGCTCAGGAGAAGCCAGTAGTGTGGTTGGGTAAGAGAGCCAAGAATACCTTGTCGATCCAATGGTGAGCCAACGTCATTCAGTAGGATAATTATTGGGGCCAGGCCCTACGAACAGTTTTCATCTGAGTTTGAAAAAGTAAAAAAAGGAGAGAGAAGTTATATATATAAATATATATATATATATATATTGGTAGATGAGCAATCAAGCAATTCTAAAAAAATTAATTTTGTTTTTTTTCAAAATATATCTTTATATTATATATTAATATATTTTTTATATTTGTAATTTACTTTTAAAAGAAAAGTATATGAATATAAAAATAAAGTAATATGTATATATAAAAAAAAAATAGGTGTACCAGTGATCATTTCGGTCAACAAACGAGGCGTTAAAGGAATTCGGTCAACCCAATATCATCTAAATCGGCCAAAAACTTCATTCGGTGTAAAGGACAATTGGAGATGTAATTTACATTTTTGGCTAACTGATGTAGTTAGAATTACACGTAAGTACAAACCAATATAAAATATTAAATATTGTCAGGGACACAAATATAATAACAAGTAGCCAATTCGTACACTGATGATATAAGTGTTAATTGATATGTACTCCATCCATAAATAAAAAAAAAAAGTTTGTATTTTGTACGTACTTTTTTAACACATGAAAATCACTTGAGCTCTCTCTCTCATTATTAAAAGTTAGCACTATTTATTAACACTAATTCCTTTCTTAGGTGAACTATTTGAAACCAAAGCTAGCTCTCTTTATTGGATTTCTCTGGAAAGACTATTCTTCTTCGAAGTTGTTGTTGCTTTATCGGTTAAGCTCAATCAAGTCAGGTGGAAAAACGATTCTTCCTCGAAGTTGTTATTGCTTTATCGGTTAAACTCAATCAAGTCAAGAGCCTCAATTTGTTTTCTGTCAAGAGTTTGAAAGCGGAGAAGTTTCCTAGTAGAAACATGGAAAGAGCACTTTTAATTGTTTTAGTGAATTTGTGTCCATCTGCTTTTATGATTGTTTTCCATGTTAAGTCAACAAGTCTTCCAAATGGCACTTCTTTTTGTTGCATCCGTCTTCAGGATGATCTAGTCATAAGTTTCACTTCTCAATGAATGAAAAATTTGTCTCCGGATCTACATTGAAAATTTCTTTAGTAAAATTCATTCGAGAGGACTTGGGGGTCCTTTTAAAAAATAAAAATAGAATACCAATTCACACATTGTTTTCTTTTTTTTCAATGGCATTCAATTTAAACGGAGCCATACTAAAATTCTTGAAATCTGATCTGACATTGAACTCTATGTATGATCATCTTTTTTTCAATGAAATGGAAACCCGCAGCCGCTGCTCTTCGAGACCGTCCGACTGAACTTGACAAGACAAATCATACTAGACAAACCATATATAGTAGGAAGATTCGAAGGTGTCGAGAGTTTGAACCAATGACCTCAATATCACAAGTACAACCCCATACAACCATATCATCGTTTACAAAAATTGTATAGTAGGGGCATGAAAAGAAGCTATAGAGGGCGTTTGGCAAATAGCTTTTTGAAGAGCTGAACAGCTTTTAACTTTTTGACCGGTCAAAAAGCTAATTGAGGTGTTTGACAAATTACCTTTTTGGAATAGCTTCTGAAAAGCTAACTTATCCATCGTTTTGAAATAGCTTTTTCTGTAAAAAAAAAAAAAAAAAAAAAATTTATTCCTTATATGTCCTTAAAAATTTATTATGTATTTTACACAAATAAATATATTTTGATTATTTATTAATTATATTAGAATATTTTATTATATTATTGTTTTACTTTTATAAATTTAAAATAATTAATTTTTATATAAAAATTATTTTAATTGTAAAATATATAAATTTATTAAAATCAACATTTTATTAATAATTTATTTTCATATTAAAATTACATTATATAAATTTTATATTAAAAATAAATTAAATTTATTGAAAATTATAAATATAATAAACTAATTGATAACTAATATAATAAATATATATGCGAAATATTTATTATTTTATATTTTATATCATTTTTAATAGAAAAACTATTTATATATTTCAATAAAAAATATATTATTTAAAAATAAATACTTTTATAACACTTCTACAATTTTTAATAACTAATAACAAAAAACTTCAAGCATTCTAAACTCAAAAGAACATAATTGAATATATTAGAAACAAAAATACAATAGAAATGTCTTCAATTGTCATCTAATATCAAACATTAAACAGTTGTTTTACCAAACATTTTAATACAAACAGCTAATCGAATCAGCTATTCAAACCAGCTAACGGCTATCAACTAATTGCCAAACATGTCCATAGTAAAAACCAGTAGAAATTCAAGTACAAACTCTGAGATTAACTCTGAGATTAAAAGCAAAGGCAATGTTGAAGCCCATAAAAGATCACCAGCCTGGCGGGTACCAACGCATTATTCGCAATCACATTAAACAAACAGCCAAGAGCATGTAGAAACCAAACGATAAATGCATAAAACTAATGTTCAATTGAAATTGCACAACTACAAGCTTTACAGCAACTTAAAACAAAACGTCAATGCTAAACTTTGACTTCCTTCTAGAACAGACATATCACAAATGGCAATCTCAGTAATCGTCTTCAACTATCATTGGCTCCACCATGATGATAGAACTCATTCTATCTTCACATAATGAAATGATTAAAAAGAATAAATAACAAATAAAGGGGCATCAAGTACTCTTTTATCCATGTTCTAAGAGAAGCTTCCTAATTATTTCAATATATGCTAAATAAGTTCCTCGCATTGATGTACTATCCTAATTCTCTCTCTTAAAAACTATGTTAACAAAAACTTTTCAGTTAGTTGAATCACATAACATGCAAACTAAACCAAGTGAATTCGAAGACCAACACATCAAACTTCTTGGCTTCAACTCTTCACCATACTAATACCTCAATGAGAATTAAGATATCCGAGCTCAAATGCCACGGGTCTAGATTCAATGCAAGCACCATATCAACCCAGGAAGTGCACATCTATGGTCCCATCCCATGACACATGCAAGCGGCACTAAATCCATGATTAGATTGAGTGGAAACTTCGCCAACTTTAGCAACGAGCATCTCCACGCCTGTACAACACAATGCGAAATACAGGGGGATGTTTATACCATTGCCAAAATTTATCTTATGTAAGACTACTATCCAATCTACCAGAGATTGCAGCCCTAAACCACTACACGACAAACAATTAATGCTACACTACAGTTGCTACCATCTAGATCGTTGCTACCTGAAAAAAGAAAAAGCTACGGACAATGCAGTTTTAAATTTCTACTAGAATGGATTAATACTACACTACACTTGCCAACATCAAGATCTTTGCTACCTGATAGAAAACAAATAACAAATAATGGTAAAAACAAACTCCTGCTACACTTCGACTGCATCTCTAATTTCTGCCATTGCATTTCATTTGGTTTGTTCGAGATTATGATTTAACTATTTAGTAAAACAAAACACAGTATGAAAAATTATATAGAAGCATCAACATCCTGAAAAACAAGGCTGCAGGTCAGTCACAAACTTCGAGTCATAAACAAATAAAAGAAAATAACTCAAACTTCAAACCAATCATCTTTATCTCAAACATTACCATACCAAAGTTCCCAAAACAGCTAACTATAAATATGCATTAAAACTACAGCACAAAAACGAAGTAAAATATAAAGCTCTGCCTTATAAGGCTAGCAAAAAGGTAGCACAAACTAATGACTCAGCAAACTAACACAATCCAAGCAGTCCCATAATAAGTGAAATCTTGCAAGAGCAACCTACTCTGCACCATAAATGAGAATGTGTCGAACAGAAAAGGCCTCAATACAGAAAATAGCCGAACTCCAGCAACGAATTACTGCTGAGCCTGTCTAGTTGAACCACTGCCATACCCACCGCCATAGTTACCAGAGACTTGAGATGGATCAGATCGCCAACCTGAATTTCCATATCCTGAATTACCAGTCCCATCACCGTAACCACCTCCCATATAGCCACCAGTACCAGAATGTAGATCTCCCGCAGGAGTGTTACCACTAGGGCTGATTCCTGATCGCCCACCAACAGCACCATAAGCAGATTGATTACCATAAGCTCCATCACTTCCCCCTCCATAACCACCATAACCATAGCCTTGATTGCCATAACCAGAAAGCCCACTAGGAGACTGACCAGTACCAGGGCCGCCAGCACCACCAGGGGCACCCCATTGAGAACTTCCATAGCCATACCCAGATGGAGCCTGTGCACCCCAGGAATTCCTTTGAGTATTTGGAGGACCTCCATAGCCAGCATTGGGAACATTAGGATTTCCATAGCCTCCACCACCAGGACCGCCGAATCCGGCATTAGGAGCATTAGGATTTCCATAGCCTCCAGCAGGACCACCATACCCAGGGTTCGCACCTCCATAATTTCCATACCCATAACCCATGCCATTATTGGCAGGACCATAACCATACCCAGGTGCATTATACCCTGACGAACCATATGATGGAAACCCACCACCAGCATTTTGTGAATGCATGTATCTACTAGATTCCATTCGACCATCATATGAACCTAAATTACCAGCTGATGACCCATAACCCTGATAACCTCCACTACCTCCACCACCCATGGACCGCCCAGCTCCACCAGGATTGGCATCTTTTGGAAGAGCTCTCTTCACCTCCACCTGCTTACCATATAAATCATGGAAGGTCTTGTGCAAAACCCTATCTACGGCTTGCTCAGAATCAAAGGAAACAAAACCAAATCCGCGAGGACGGTTAGTCTGTTGATCATACATTATTACAACATCAGTGACAGTGCCATATGCTTCAAAATACTGACGAAACCCTTCCTCGTTCAGAGTAGGTGGGAGACCACCAACAAATATTTTCTTGGTTCTAGTGCTTCCAGCACCTCCAACGTTCCTTGCACCACCAGAGTTTCCAACTCTTGAAACCTGCTGTTCCTCTCTTGACAAAGCTCTTTTGGCCTCAACCTGTTTCAGGCACAATATAAAAACAGAGTACACAAGCATGGAGAAGATTAATGTTATATTTTAGTATATGCGAAATGGGAAAGACTAAAGGCATGAGAAACATGTAACAAGCAAACACTTCAGGATTGCAAAGATCTAAATCAAGTCATAAGAAGATCAAAAGCTCAGGGAACAAAGCAAAACTAACCCATCAAGTAAAGCACAAAATAAAAATATTTAGGTAAAATTGCTCATAACTCCTCTGTGGTTTTGAAATTTTGCTTAAAATCTCCTTATACTTTAAAAATTGCATGGTACTCCCCTATACTTTAAAAAACGTTGCATGAAACCTCCGTTGTGTGATGGGAACATGATTTCCTATCCATATATTTTGCATGGCGGAAGGTTTCATGCAATACTTTTTAGAAGTATAAGGGAGCGTCATGAAATATTTTAAAGTAAATTGGAGATTTACACTGAGTCTCGAAACCACAGAGGGGTTTCATGCAACGCTTTTTAAAGTATAAGGGTCTTTCATGCAATTTTTAAAGTCAATGGGGGATTTGCACTGAGTTTCGAAACCACAAGAGAGTTTTAGACAATTTTGCCAAATATTTAACACCAAGGGCAATGAATGATTCTGGGTTTAATCATTCTCATACACATTTGATCCCCTGGGCATAATCAAGGAACAGGGAATAAGAGAACCAAGGAAAAAAAACATACATTGATGATACTGGGTCAGTACTCAAGAACATAAACATTATAAGAATCATTTCCAACTTTGAAATTCGTAACACTATAAAAAAACTAAACCTAAGCCACAGAATACAAATTGAGCATATAGCCACTTCTTTGTAATTCTGATTGTCATGGCAACAGAACAAACCAGCTAGTATGATATATGTTAAGTTACCAAACTGGCAGAAAACAAAATCAGCGCACAATGTTACTGTGAACTTAAGAATATATAACTAAATAACTGACTCGTTGGGCTGTGCCAAGTAATGCATTACAGCGTAGACAGTGAACAATATAACATGTGAACAATATAACATATGAAGAACCTAATGCCATTATGAAGCTACCAAGAGTGAACTGAGGTTGACTTCAAAGAGAGTAACCACAAGCCTAAAGATCAGTAAACACAAAAATAAAGACAGCGTACAGAAGTCATCAACCAAATAAGCATACGTATAGAAACAAAACAGTCAACAAGGTGTCCAATTACATGCTTCCAGCTGAGAAAACGCAGCTTCACATCATGAACCAGCCAAATACTAAAAACACGCACAACAGAGCGAAACCCAATCTTTCAGTCCACTTCAAAACCCTAATTCCTAAACTACAAGAACTAAAAAAATTTAAAATTAAGAAGAAAGAAATGAAGCAGAGTACACAACTTCCCGACAACATCATCTTTGCAAAGAACAAATATAGAAGATGTATATAAAAAAATACTAAATAAAAACCAATTGTAAGTTCTTCACACTCTTCTCACCGTGCGACCGTCAATAACATGCGTATCCTGAAGAACTCGATCAACAACGTTCGGATCTGCAAAGACAACGAATCCAAAGCCTCGAGGCTTCCCAGTAATTTTGTCTCTCATAACGACGGCCTGCACCACCTCCCCATAGCCGTTGAAGTACTCCTTCAGCTTCTCCTCGTCAGTCTCCCACGAAATCCCTCCAATAAACAACTTCCCCAGATCCGAATCCATCCCAATATCTATGTAGGAAGAAGGATATGGTGGACTGCTGGGGAAAGAGTGAACGTTGAAATTGGGGATCTTTTTTTCCCGTGGAGATAGCCGATTACTGACGATGGGGAGAAAGTGGGTGTTCTATATATCTGGTGTGCGGAATGGACGGCCAGGATTCCTCTCCGAGAAATGACGGGTGGACATAGGGTTTAGGCTAGAGTACAATTAGCCCCCAAGTTATTGGTAATCTTATAATACCCCGCATCAAAGGGATCCCTCGCACATTTGAGGGTTGGATTAGAGAATGAGATTCACATTAAAAAAAAGTTAGCTTAAACGATATTTTAAATAAATTAATTCACTTACCTGTAATATTATTAGTTAATAATAATAAATCATAATATTATTTTTTTATTTTTTTTATAATTAACAATATTAATTTTTAAAATAAATTTAATATATATAATTGAAATATAAAAAATATTTTTAAATATTTTTAAAAATTATATGGCAGTAAAAATATATGAATATTATTTTATAAAGAATAAAATTTTCTATAATATAAATAATAAAAAATTACTTTATTTATTTATAAATAATATAAAACTAATTTTATAAAAGAATGTCAAATTTTAAATGTAATAAAAATATTTATTTTCTAAAAAGAAATATAAAAGTAAAAGAGTTTTGAGTTAGTCATATATGATGTTAATTAAGTTATTTATATTTGTTAAATATATGTTGATTTTATAAATTTTACTTAAAAGAAAAAAATATCAATTGTTATTAGAGAGATAAAAATAAAAAAATATGTCAATTAAGAAGGGAGGAAGAGAATGTAAGAAAAAAGAACTAATATAATAATTGATACTTTCGAAGACAATCAATCCAACAGTAAAAATAAACTCATGAATTGTTCATAATATTAAAATAAATTTATATCAGTAAAATTGTAAAATTTATTTTCTATATGGGCTCAATTATTATAACTATTATTGCTAGTAAAATATATTATAGCTATTATCAAATTTTATAATTTTGTACTTCGACTTTGCATTAGGTTCACATCATAGTTGAATTCACGTTCGGAAAGAAACTTCCATAGAAATCAAAGGTTGGATAATCACTCGAAATAAAATATATATACAATTGATCTATATCATAATTTGAATCTAATATATGCAATTCATACTTTTAGCAACCTTGAACCTTTTATTGTCAACTTAAAAATTTTTCATATGAAGATAATGTAGTTCAAGATGTTGAACTCTTCCTTTAAATATTTGAAGTTGGAGATTCAAATCCCAATGGATGTGTATGAGTAGTTGGGGTTGTGAATAAAAATAAAAACCTAAAATTTTTTCATTAGAATTATCTTACCGAAAGTCACGAAGCTAAGGCAGCCAAAAACCCTCTATCTTCAACCTTTGCGTTTTGTTAAGAATATGGGCGAAAATGAGAAGAAGGCAAGACTAAGATTGAGGGGGAAATAGTTGTACCGTGTGTGACTTAAGTTATAATTTCATTAAAAAGTTAATGTTGTGAGGAACATGCATTGTAAAATTCCAAACCAAAAAGTTATGTTTATTCTTTTGGTAAAAATTATGACCCACGTGTACCATTTTATATTGAAAAAACTGATTCTCTACCGATTAAGTCCCACTTGTCTTATGTTAATTTATGGAAATATGAACCTAAGGGCCTTTAGGTAATTATAAACTCCCCTCCTTCAAAACCGGAAAGCAATTATATGATGTTATGTCTAGATCACGGTAGAGTATTGAACCACATTCATAATATAAAGTATGTGTGTGGATCCGTTGAGCATATAGATGTTTTATTAGTAGGAATTATGAACAATGATATATCAGAGCTATTTTTGGTTAATGCTAAAATTAATATTTTGGAGTATATTAAGCATTACATTCTAAATAGTAGTAGATTCAAGATATTAAAAAGCGATGAAGAGCTTCGAGATTCAACATATGAGTTTTTAACTTATAGAAGAATACTTATTTATTTAGATATTTTGGATAAGTGTTGTCGGTGCTTATGAGTCAAAAAGTGATGATAACACATCCGAAGAATTTGTAGCCATAGACTCTAGTGATCTTTGAAATAACTATGCTGAAGGTGAAAAGAAAATAGCAGTGTTGGACAGAGTGAACATAATAATTGTATAGCTTATGGAGTAGAGCATACAGAGACGGAACTAAAAGTCGTGATAAGAAAAAACTAATTTCAAACTTACAAAATAATAAAATCTACTAATACATATATAAGATATATGTGTATTTATTTTCAGATAATTTATTTTTCTTATGACTATATTTTATAATGTTTGAAAATAACAAATTATAATACTTTAATATTTATATATTGTAAATATTTGGGTAAACTGTTTTTTTAGTCCCGTAACGGACCCCCTTATCATTTTAGTCCCGTAAGTGGAGCCTATCGCAAATTAGTCCCATAAGTGATAAATTTTCGTTGTTTTAGTCCTCCGGTGTCGGAGATGTCCGCATGGCTCGCCCGAGGTGACGTATCCGCCAGGTGTTCCGCCAGGTCAGCGACACCTGGCGGACACGTAGATTTATTTTTTTTTTTTCAGTTTTTAATTTTTTTTAAAAATTGGACTAAATAAAAAAATAAAAAATGCAAATAAAATTAAAAATAAATTAAAAATAAGTTTTTTAAAAAATTTTAAAAAAAATGAAAAAATAAAATAAAAAATCCATGTGTCCGCTAGCCTTTCTATAATGCGACGTCTGCTTCTAGCCTTTCTTTCTTCGCAGGTAAGATTGATCTATACATATAATTATATTATTATTATTATTATTAGTAAAATTATTATTAATATTATTATCATCGTCCATCTATATCATCATTATCATCACTTATTACTATTATATTATTATTATATATATATTATATTTTATATTTATCCTTATCGATATTTATCCGTTTAACAGTCTTTTCGATCATAATCAATATATAAAATAGGAATAAGATTTATTCCAAAATATTAATTTATTGATCCCAAAATATTATAAAAATATTTATTTGCTATAATAATATTATTTTATACACTCCAAAATCGGGGAATTACACTTGCTGTCTAAAAGCTTGTGGAAGCTACACCCTCTTGCTCTATAGAAGCACCGCAATTTGATGGAAGTTTTTGCCTTCAGCTCTGAGTCATTTGGACCTAGGGTCCAACAATTACCCTTCTAAAAAAAGGGATAAAATGTGAAACATATAAAGCTTTACCATTTTTTGGGATTTTCTTCTCGTGGAGCTTGCATCCGTAGGCCTTAATGTAAAATCTAGGTGTACAAACCCCTTTTGATTTTATCCCATAAGGCTCTACATCATTGATGTGACAACTGCAATTTTTGATTCCCGCATCGCTTGAAAGAAAAGACAATTAAGGGTTTTTTGGGCTTTATCTCAGCACTTACCTTCTTCACTATCATCTCCCTCGTTTTCTCTTTTCTTTTCCTTTGGATTTCCCCGTTTTGGTTAGTGAGTACAAGCGTCAATTCATATGGCTTCTCCGATGCTCATCCTTCCGGTGGTGTAAAAGAGCCCTTGCCAATGGCGGTGGTCCCTGGTCCGATTCGCTATTCCATGCCAGCCGAGGGACCTGTTCGCCCGTCTGCCGATGGAGAATCGTGGATTTTAACTCCATCGGCCGAGACGGAACTCGAAGAAGAGGAACTCCAGCGAATCATCGCAAGCGATGGAGTGTCTCCCCTGTTAATTGCGAAACCCTCCTATTCGTTGGCTCTTCAACAAGGTAGGGTTTTGACGCAATATCCTGATAGCGCGACCTTCAAGGAATGGACGGCGACTCTCGGTGGCTCAGTCGATACGCAGTGGGAAGCTTGTGGGATTGACAATATGATTACCTTCAGCCCACAGGTTTCTTATCCTAACTCCGATCTTCTTTTTGTACTCTTAGGGTTTTGGTGTCCAAAGGTGAATGGATTTTGTTTTCCTTTTGGCATGCTTTCCCCCACATTACTTGATACTGCGGTGTTGTTAGGTCTCCCCGTAACAGGGGATTATTACGCTCTACTCCTTGCCCCATCGAATGTTGTCGATTTTAGTATAGACTATTTGAAGTCTAGTTCGAAAATCTTACTATATGGGAAGTATGGGGCGCCAAACTTGAAACCCAACTTGCTAGATAACCATAGGACCTTCTTGATGCTTTGGGTGAATCGTTTTTTCGTAGGCTCGGCCGGTAGGAATCTGGTTAGGGAATATGAACTCTTAGTATCGTCGATAATGGAGGGTGATTGTTTAGAGCTTGCTCAATTCTTTTTAGGCCATTTGTATAGAACCCTTAATGATCTCCATGCTCGCCTAGCTCGTGAGGAACGTGTATCCACCCAAAAGGGACCTTTATGGTTTCTTCAAATATGGGCTGCTTTTATGTTTCCCGAGTTGTTTGACATACCGTGGTCGTTCTAAATTCCGGATGAAGAACGTATCGGTGTGTTTTTAGCTGGGTTTGAATGCTCCCGCAATGCTTTTTAAATTGCCGATTTCTTCTTGTCGTCGAGTAAACGGAGGACGTACGATTTTTTTCTTTGCCGGAGCGATCTCGCGGGCCCGATTGGTTTTCTAAGCCCCCGCCAGTAAAGAAGGATGGTTCCCCTAACTTGTCTTCCATTACTTCATCGTGGAACCAAGACTTAACCGCAAGGCCCTTGTTGTTGGGTTTAAAGCCTAAGTCTCGTTCTTTACCCGTTGGAGTAGAAGGATACTTCCCACAGTTGTATGCGCTTAGTTTGGACTCCGACAGACGACCCCGATGTATCGTTTCCATTTCCAAGGGCCCTTTCCTCCAGCGGCAAAGGATCTATCCTCCAATGATCTTGACATGTATCGGGGTTTGAATGCAGCCATTAAGGATTCGCCCCATCCTATCTTCGAAACCAAGGCCTCCACCGATTCGGCATTTGCAGACTGGTGGGAATCCTTACGGGGTATTCTTTTTACTGAACCTCCAGCTTCATAGCTATGCCGTTTCATTGATATAGATTTTGACAATAAGAGTTAAACAACCGATATTGCCACTGAGGAGGTTGAAAGCGCAGCTCCTGAGATCATCGTAGGTAAACTTTCATATATTCCTTGATTTTTGCTCACTAAATATTCGGCTTACCCTTTTTTTGTTCACAATGACGGACTCTTTCCCTGTACGTAGATCAACTCGGCATGCTAAGGCCAAAGCTACTGCCCCTACACCTTCGGAGAAGTGCCGTGCAACTATATCTCCCAAGACTCAGGTTCATATTCATCTCCACATACTTCTTCCGTGGATACTCATGATTTTCTCATTTGTATGTATCATTGTATCCAGCCCGCTAATAAAATTCACAAAGGCGTTGATCCAACCATGAAAATGAGAACCACGTCTCACACTATGGTGAATCCTTCTTCGAAGGTTTTTCCACCCAAAGCTTTTGTATCCAAGGTATTTCCATCGCCCAAACTGCATTTCTCTTCACACTCATATTAGAATGTTATTTTTCAATATCCTTTACCAGAAGACACCTTCGAGGATGTCGGAGACTCTTTTTTTGCCTCCAAACCGCACTTCTGCCCCACCTCGTGCAGGTCATGTTACTTCTGATTTGAATATTAGTCCGGAACATATTCGAGAGTATTTCATTGGGTGTCAGGATGCAACATCTACTTCGGCATACTCGAGTCAATTCCCTGGGGGCTTGGACGAACAATTCATCACCACATGCTTGGAAGCGTCCCCAGGAGATCTTGAGACCTTGAGTTCTTCCAGTTAGCTTTGCTAAATTTAGCAGAAGCCCTTTCTTATGCAAATCTTCCTAAGTCCATTCACGTGCAATGGATCGGCTTATCTTCCAAAGTAAACGTCTTTGCCCAGCGGCGCAGAATGGCAGAGGAAACCCAAGACTTTGGGAGGACGCACCTGGATCAGTTGGAAACATTAAGGAAACATAAGCAGTCTTTACAGGATGAATATTCGCGCACTGAGGATGAAGCTTCCAGTGCTTCAAATCAGCTTGAAGCTTCCCGCACCAAGGAATTAGTAAAACAGACTGAAGTGGCCCGTCTCCAAGCTCAGCTCGCCCAATTTGGTCCTAAGATTGCGGAGTTAGAACGGCTATTAGTGGAGAAGCGACGAACGCAAACTGATTTATATCGGAGGTCCCAGTGCCTAGATGCCCCCACAGCTGCTTTGTTGCAGAGGAAAGTTCTGTATGAGTTCAATGCCACTGATGGGGAGGCGACCTTGAATAAACTAGAGTCGGAATGGGGGACCCTGGTCTTTTTGTGGACAGTTTGCAAACCTTCAGTGCAGGTACTCTCTTCATCATCTCAAGGCCCTAACGATGGATATGTGGGGGATGCACCACCTTCTGTTCCTGTGAAAGATACTCCGATGGTTTCCAAGTCTGAACCTCCGCTTCAGACCGTTGCCGATGTCCAACCATCTATTGCTCATGTTGTGAGAGATTTGATGTTAGCCTTATAAGTGGCAGCAGACCGCAGCGCTTCTGACCCACCTTCGACTTCGACAATTCCAATTTCTGATGAGGCAACATCGATCCAAGAGGGCTTGGCTCCAACGGGTGTAGTTCCAAGCTCTAGTGGGACGGCCTTACCCTCGGAGGACCTAACTTCTATAGATACGGTTCTAGTGATTGGTAGAATAGTCCCGACTCTGGAAATTTCAACTTCAGTGGAAGCGGTGCCAGGTCCTGATGGAACATTTACAGCTTTAAAAAATCCGATTCCAACTCCGGCAGATCCAGTTCCTATGGAAGCAGCGCCAGGTCCTGATGGAACGGCTCTAGCTCTGGAAGATCTTATTCCGGCTCCGGCGGATCCAATTCCCATGGAAGCGGCACCATGTGCTGATAACTCCGGGGCAGCTGTAGACCCAGCCGCAAATGATACTTCTCCAACCGTACCTTGATTTAGGAACCATTCGCCTTCTTCCATGTTATCCGCAGTCTCACTTTCATTTTGTTTTATTTTGCACATTAGCGGCTTAATAGCCTGCTTTCATTTTTCCAGCGGTCTAGAAAAAACCTGCTCTCACTTTTCTTTGTATTTAGCGGTCTAAACAAGACCTGCTTTCACTTATCCATTTCATTCCTTCATTAGAACTCAAGTGGCGACATGTACCCCTTAAGGTGCTTAGCATTGATAAAATTTCTATGTTCCATCCCATCAATACTCATCAATCTATAAGCACCGTTAGGCAACACTTTACTCACTTGATATGGACCTTCCCACATAGGAGACCACTTCCCAAACGTATTATCTTTGAATCCTTCGGGTAACACTGCCTTCCGTACCAAATCTCCTTCGTGGAATGCTCGCCGACGTGCCTTTTTTTTGTAAGCTCGTGCTACTTTCGCTTTATTCATTCGTATATTCTCCAAGGCCATCATCCGATCTTCATGTACGTCATCCAACCTCTGTAACATAGCTGTGTCATATTGCTCGGGATTGAGCAAATTCTGCTTCAACACTCGTAAAGATGATACCGTTATTTCCAATGGCAATATCGCTTCTTGCCCAGAGACTAGTTGGAATGGGGTGCAACCAGTGGCTTTATTTCGGATTGCCTACAGGCCCATAAAGCCTCCCCCAACACTTCGTGCCATCTTCTTGGGTTATCTTCCACGGCCTTTTTAATTACTCCAATTAAGACCTTATTGGCTGCTTCGGCCTGCCCATTTGTTTGCGCATAATACGGGGATGAATGCAAAAGATAAATCCCGTACTGTGCGGAAAAAGGCGGCCACTCTATCATTGGTAAAAACAGTACCTTGATCGGCGGTAATCGCTTGAGGAATTCCATACCGGTGAATAATGTGTTCTTTAACGAACTTTATCACTTCTTAATATGTTACGTTGGCCAATGGTACAGCTTCTATCCACTTTGTGAAATAATCCGTGGCCACCAATATGAACAAGTGTTGTCTGGAGGATAATGGATGAATCTTACCGATGATATCGATCGCCCATCCCTGGAATGGCCATGGTTTCACAACTGCATGCATTTTTTCCGCTGGAATTCAGATCAAAGGACCATATTGCTGACACGATTCATATCCTTGAGCATACTTGATGCAGTCTTCTATCATTGATGGCCAAACATACCCATACCGTCGGATCATCCATCTCATGACTAATCCGGATCTGTGTGCTCCACAAACTCCTTCATGCACTTCTCCCATCACCTTCATGGCTTTTTGAGTATATACACATTTCATTAACATTCCATCGGCGGCTCTGCAAAAAAGATATCCGTCAATCAAAGTATATTTCAGGGATATCCGTCAATCAAAGTATATTTCAGGGCTTGCTTCCGTAGCTTTTCAGGAGTATCACCGGTTGGTTGTTCCAAATACTTTCTTAGTTCCATACGCCAATCCTCCACTTCCACTGTGCACAGACATACTCGCCCTGACTTGAACTTTCCTCCGGCGGACGATTTATACCCAGAGGCTTCTTGAGCTAAATCATCAGCTACTCCATTTTCAGCTCGAGGTATGAATTCCACCATTGCCTCGTCAAAATTTTGCAACATCGTGACTACATCCATTCGAAGGTTTTTCAATTTTTCATCTTTTTATTGGAACTCACCGGAAATTTGCTTCAGAATCAATTGTAAATCACCTTGAACTCTGATCGCCTTAGCTCCCTTTTTATGGAGAATCCTCAGTCCAACTAATAATGCTTCATACTCCACTTGATTATTAGTAAATCCGGGTGCCAATGGTCTGGCAACGGCCCACTTTCTTCTCCATGGGCTCTCAATAAAGATCCCAGCTCTAGCGCTGGTTTACGTGCTAGAACCATCAAACTTCAAGATCTATGGCATCGGACTAATAACAGCTTCCATACGATCAGCCGCTCGGTCAGATACCGAGCTCGGATGATCTGCCAAAGAATTAGCAATGACTTGCCCTTTAACAGCTTTAATTGGTACATATCGTAAATCAAATCCGGCTAGTTTTACAGCCCATTTCGCTTGCCTCCCTCTTAAATCTGGCCTACTTAATAAATATCTCAAAATACCGACATGACACACCACTTTCGTCTCCCTCAGGGCCAAATAATATTCAAGTTTCGTGAAAGTATAAAACAAGGCATGACATAATTTTTCCATAGGAGTGTACCTTGTCTTTGCATCATTCATTACCTTACTAAGGTAAAAAAATGGCACGTTCGCTTCTATCGGGAGCCTCTTGCGCTAGTAAGCAACCGACCATATTCTCAGTGGCCGAAACATATAAGCGTAGAGTTTTGCCTGCTTGCGGTGGCATCAACACTGGCGGATTGGCCAGAGCTTCTGTAATAGCTTCGAAAGCCTGCTGGTGTGGCGGCTTCCATACAAATTTCTTCATCTTCCGCAATTTTGAGTAACGTAGAAAAAGCTTTAAGCTTGCATGCAACATTTGAAACAAATCTTCGCAAAAAGTTCACCTGCCCAAGGAATCCTTGGAGCTATTTCAGATTTTCAGGCGGTCGGGCATTGATGATAGTTTTCGTCTTGTTACTATCCACCTCGATACCTTTATTATGTACCATGAAACCGAAAAAGTTTCCGGAAGCCACCCCGAATGCGCATTTTTTTGGATTCATCTTCAAATTATAGTGCCTCATTCGCCAGAAAGCTTGCTCGAGATCCACCAGATGTTCCGGAAAACTCTTGGATTTCACCACGATGTCATCGATGTAAACTTCCACAGACTATCCAATTAAATCGTGGAATATGGGGTTCATTGCTTGCTGGTAAGTCGCTCCAGCATTCTTCAACCAAAATGGCATTACCACACATTCATATACTCCAAGGGCCCCTGGGCATCGGAATGCCGTTTTTGCAACATTCTCCTCGGCTATGAAAATCTGATTATAGCCAGGATACCCATCCATAAATGACAGACTCCCGTTCATGGCGGCTGCATCCACTAACGTATTCATCTTTTGGTGTTGCTAAATTCAAATTGCGGTAATCTACGCATACCCATAATTTGCCAATTTTCTCGAGTACAGGAACAATGTTGGCCACCCATTCCGGGTATCGACAAGTCCGGATGAATCCTGCCCCCAAGAGCCGCAGAATTTCTTCCTTAATCTTTTGGTACACATCTGGATTAAACCTTCACGGTGGCTGCTTGTGGGGTTTGTATCGGACTTTTATGGGTAGTCGATGTTCCACGAGTTCTCGAGCCAAGCCTGGAATTTCATCGTAATCCCAAGATAAACAATCCCGGTATTCCTTTATAAGTTACCAAGTCGGCTTGATCTTCTGATGTTAACAATGCACTAACCTTGGTAATTCGTGAAACTTCATTGATACTTAAATCAACATCCTCCAACGGGTCTTGGGCCTGGAACGCTGGATGTGTTTTGTGCACGTGGGATGATGGTAATTCTACTTCACCGGCGATTTCTTTGGATGGTTCTGAACTACCAATGGAATTTGTTATGAGCAGTTCTGGACCTTCTACGGGGTCTGCTCTGGCTAGCTCTGGACATTGCGTAACGGAGCCTGTTTCGGGCGGCTCAAGGTTTTCCAAGGAGCCAGTTTTGGACGGCTCCGAACTCGCAATAGAGCCTGTTCCGAGCAGGTCATATTGAATTTCATCGTATTCAAAATTCATCATAGTCTTCTTCATTCATAGGCCGTGGATCGGCCTTCACTTAAACCCTGAAATGCTTATCACTAAACACACATTCATAATTTCTTCCGTTAGGAATGGAGGCGATCACTTCCGACAATGGAATCATCTTCGAATAGTAGAAAGTCGCATCTACAGCTGTGACCTCCGTTGCAAATGGATCTTTCTCCGCTTGCACTTCTTGAACCTCGTTGACATCCTAAAATACCAACTTCTGGTGTAAAGTCGACGGGACACACTCGCAGGCATGAATTCAATCCCGCCCTAACAATGCTGCATACGACATACAGCTGTCTATTATCACAAACGCTGAGGAAAACTTCTTTGTGCCAACTTGCACCTCAGCAGTAGCAATTCCCGCCGGCTTGTACGAATTTCCCATAAAATCTGTGGCTCGTACTAAGGTTGGTATTAAATAATGTTTTGTCTTTCCTAATTTTTTGAATGTTCGAAATGGCATCACATTAGCAAATGCACCACCGTCTATCATTACTCTATCCACAGGTCGTCCTTCCATTAAAGCTCGAATGTACAGGGGCTTCACATGTTTATTTTGCCCGAACCCAATTCAATCAAATGTGAATGTTGTCACTACGTCATTCCATTCTGCAACTGGCTCTTCATCTACGATCACTCCCTCGTAATTCTGCTCCCCTTCTTGACATGACCCGACCGCGTATGATTAGGCCCATAATAATTTCCTTAGCAACAAAATTCAATAGAGAAGGAAGAAGAAAATATAGTGCAAAGAATGTGAATTAAAATGGATGACAACCAATCACGAGAATAAGTCTCAGACCTGAAATCAAAACCATAGTTAAAACACAAACAATAGGCTAAATCTCACTGCAAAGGATTGAAAGCCACGAACCGATGGAATCACTCCAAAGACCCGATTTGAAATAAGAGGGGATAAAGAAGAAAGGATAGTGCAGATAATGTGAATTAATATGGATGATAACCAACAACGAGAATAAGTCTCGGACCTAAAATCAAACTATAGATTAAAACACAAACAATAGGCTAAATCTCACTGGAAAGGATTGGAAGCTACAAACCGATGGAATCACTCTAAAAACCCTATTTGAAATATCTAAGTAGGAGGAAATCACATTCTAGCACTAGACAAATATTGAGAGGGAACAATAAAGAAATTTTATTCAAGATTCACTCTACTCTATTATAATGATAGACAAGGGCCTTATATAGAGGTCCTTGAGGAAAATAAAAGACAACAAATAATAAAGGAAACAAATAAAAGGTAGGTCTAACTATAAGGAAACAAATAATAAAGAAAGTTCTAGACATGAAATTATATTATATGGAAACTTATAATAAAAGGTAATATATAATTAGGTAACTTTGAGATTCTTCTATAATTATTTGTTGTCTTAATCTTGAAGTCCCGGCTCTTGTGATCCTGGCCTCGGGATGACTCGGTTAGGTGACCTTTGAGTCGGATAAAAAGGAATTGTAATGTCTAGCACATCCATCTTCAATAATTGTTTTTCTAAGTTTGAACGGCCGCATCATTCCCCTTTTCTTGAAAAGTACTATTGTTCTCCCGAACATGATATTCCTCGACTCTACGGCTCACAAGAAGACTCAATTTTTTCAAAGACAATAACAAGAAAAATCTGAAACAAAGTAGACAAGGAAAATATTGTAGAGGACGAAACAGTTAACAAATACCACAAATTGATTTCTTTTTCTTTTTCTTTTTTTGGATTTTTTTGCCTTTTTTTTCAACTTTTCCTTTTTTTTTACGTTTTCTTTTTTTCAAATAGAACCGTGATATCAATCAAGAGATTTTATCAACTAGCTCTGATACCAGATGACACGGCCCGACCGTGTATGATTATGCCCATAATAATTTCCTTAGCAACAAAATTCAATAGAGAAAGAACATGAAAAGATAGTGCAAAGAATGTGAATTAACATGGATGATAACCAACCACGAGAATAAGTCTCAGACCTGAAATCAAAACCATAGTTAAAACACAAACAATAGGCTAAATCCAACTGCAAATGATTGGAAGCCACGAACCGATGGAATCACTCTAAAGACCCGATTTGAAATATCTAAGTGGGAGGAAATCACATCATAGCACTAGACAAATATTGAGAGGGAACAATAAAGAAATTTTATTCAAGATTCACTCTACTCTAT